TTCAGTGAGGTTGTAATTTTGAACAGTCACTAAATGAACTGTTGTAAGTTGAGGACTACCTCTATAAAAATGTAATTAAAATTTGGAATTAGATACTATGAGATGTGCTGTCTAGACACTTGACAGGCTTCAAAAATTCATGGAAGTCATGAGGATCAGTTTGCTATCAGCCTTAATAGCATTGGCAGATAGCAGTAGCAATAGTACTTACACTTATACCCCACTTCACTGTACTTTTACAGCCCTCTCTAAGCAGTTTACAGAGTCAGCCTGTTGCCCCCCCAACAATCTGGGTCCTCATTTTACTGACCTCAGAAGGATGGAAGGCTGAGTCAACCATGAGCTGGTAGGAGTCAAACTTCTGAATTGTTGGCAGCCGGCTCTTGAAGATGACTATGAGCTATGGTGGCGCAGTGATTAAAGTTCAGTACCACAAGCTACTTCCACTGTCTGCCGGTTGCCTGCAATTTTGCAGTTCAAATCTCACCAGGCTTAAGACTGACTTCCATCCTTCTGAGGTGGATACAATGAGGACCCAAATTGATGAAGGCAATATGCTTTAATCCTTCAAACTGCCTATAGAGGGCTGTAAAGCACTGTAAAGTGGTATATAAGTCTAAGTGCTATTGCTATCTTCTGCCTTGTGTGGTTGGTAGATCACTGTGAGAACAAATTGCTGGAATAGATGGTTCAGAAGGATCCAGGAAGGATCTTATTATGCTTTGATAATTCTGGACAGTATACAAAAACAAACATCCTCACTACAAAAATAAATTAGTATATCCAAATGACTACAGGTAGTTCTTGACTTACAACCTTTCATTTAATGACTAAAGTTACGATGACACTGAAAAAGGTGTCCATTTTTCACACTTACGACCATTGCAGAATCCCCATTGGTCATGTCATCATAATTCTGAGGCTTGGTAATAGTATTTATGAGAGTTGTAACGTCTACCAGCCATGGAAGCCATATTTTATTAGCCATATATTTTTTAAAAAGCTTCGAGGTTGCCACAGTTAGTACCTGAGAATTTGGGAGGGAGGAATTCTTAGTGAGTAGTAGATTAGACTCAACAACATTCATCTCACAAGTCAAGGACATCTCAGCCTGCACCTGGATGGGAGTGAGTGAAGATTTGGCTTTGGATAGAACGATGTTTGATTGGGCCATGTGATAGATTGATGGGTGCAGGAGATGGATCTTTGATTTTCACTTGGGTAAGGGAAAACCTGGAAGTTTCAGATTCAGGTTTTCCCTCATGGCTTCTTTAATAAATTCTTACTTGGGTGGATTTTGTCTCTGAGTGCTGAATTGAAATTGGAAGTTTCTTTGGAACTCTGACAATGTCCTGGGGTCATGTGATCAACTTTTGAGACTTGCTGACAAGCAAAATCAATGAGGAAGCCAGGTTCACTTAACAACTCAACAATTGCAGTGATTCATTTAACAACTGTGGCAAGAAAGGTCGTAAAATGGGACAAATCTCACTTAGCAACTGTCTCACTTAGGAACAGAAAATTTAGACTCAATTGTATTTGTAAGTCAAGGACTACCTGTATCAAGAACAAAAGGGAATTCCTCCCCCCCACTCCACCCCTTACAAAATAAAACCCAAGATAGGCACTCACAGCCAATCAACCAGGAACAAAGTCACATTAAAATTATGTGTTTTACAACAGTTGGAATGTTAGATTTAGAAATCTCTTTCTGAGAATCATTGCCAGGTCTTGATGCATTGTCCTCCCCAAATGTTTGACATGTGGAAATATGTGTCATACAGACACATAGATATTTTTGTCTTATTACAAATAATTTGTGGTTGGGGAGGAGGGGTAAAGAGATGAGCTGATGACTTTATTGTCTTTTCCATCAAGTTTTTAGGTTACAATGAAAAACCCCTGACATTACAAATGTTCATTGGAACAGCGGATGAGCGGAACCTACGTCCTCATGCTTTCTACCAGGTGCATCGCATCACTGGAAAAATGGTGGCCACCACTAGTTACGAATCTATCATCAATGGAACCAAAGTTCTTGAGATGTCTCTGCTGCCCGAGAACAACATGGCAGCCAAGTAAGGTTCCTTTGGGCGCAAAAAGGTGGAGAGATGAAAAGAGGACTTGTCCATCTGGATGATGGCGATGATGATGATGATGATGATGATGATGATGATGATGATGATGGTGATGATGATATAAAGATGAACAAAGATATGGACCTTTCTCAATCTTATGCTTTTGTTTTCCTTTTTTAAATTTTTTTTCAATAAGGAGAAAGAGAAGAACCTAAAAATGACACCTTCAGTCCATTTCATATATAAAAAACAAGATGATCTGAGTTAGCAAGATTCAAAATGGCAAAATTAATACATAAAATATAAATGAAAGAGGAAAAGAAAAAATACATAAGCATAGACTAAACACTTAAAGATAAGTGACTAAAGGGCTTGAAAATTCTCTTCTTAGCCTTTGTAAACATATTAACAGAGTTGGAGGGGACCTTGTTGGTCATCTAATCCAAACCTCTGCTCAAGCAGGAGACCTTAAATCATTTCTGACAAATGGCAGTCCAGTCTCTTCTTGAAAGCCTCCAGTGATGAAGCTCCCACAACTTCTGAAGACAAGCTATTCCATTGGTTGATCATTTTCACTGTCAGAAAATTTCTCCTTATTTCCAGGTTGAATCTCTTCTTGTTCAGTTTCTATCCATTATTCCTTGTCTGGCCTTCAGGTGCTTTGGAAAATAGCTTGACCCCTTCCTCTCTGTGGCAGTCCCTCAAATATTGGAACACTGCTATCATGTCTCCCCTGGTCCTTCTCTTCACTAGACTAGCCATGCCCAGTTCCTGCAACTGTTCATTTTAGCCTCCAATCCCCTAATCATCTTGGTTGCTCTTCTCTGCACTTTGTCTAGAGTCTCAACATCTTTTTTATAACGTGGTGACCAAAACTGGATGCCGTATTCTAGGTATGGTCTTACTAAGGCTTTATAGAGTGATATTAGTACCTCACTTGATCTTGATTTGACATACAAAAGCCACTTAAAAAACTGGCAAAGCATGTGTGTCAATAACCAATGGCTGGCAATTTGTTGTGGATTTTTCTCTTAGCTATCCCTATCTTCCAAAGTATCCATAAATCCATTGAATCTTGATGAATTGAATATAATAGGGATATAGCCTACAAAAGGCAAGGATTCACGATACTACTATCCCCTGGTCAGATGATCTCTCTTTGCTACTTTCACAACCCACTTCCAACAGCAGTCAGTGGGGGGAACCTGACCGGAAGTTGCAAGTCACTGTCATGTGACATCATGCTTAATAACATGCAGTGATTTACTAATGACCACCATTGGAACAATTGTTAAATCAGGTATGATCACATAATACTTCACTTTACGATGTCACTTAGTGGTGGAGTTGCCAGTCCCAAAGATGACTGGTGAGAACTATCTGTATAATATAATATAATAAAAGAATAGTCTTGGCTTTAGACATTGATTGATTGCAAGAATGATTGAACTGATAGCTTGATTCAGTCAGATGACACTAAATGGTGTACAAGATCAGTAGCCAGAATCAATGCAACAATAAATTGCAATAGTACCCTATAAAATCTAATACAACATGCAGTTACAGCTCCAACTAATGATCCAGAGTAATAATTCACCTCACTGTCAATTATTATATTATTGTGCACCTTAAAAAGTTATGCTGTGTTATTTCTAAAAGATTAAAGATAATTTGATCAATTTGATGTAGTAGTTAAGGTGCTAGGCCAAAAACTAAGAAATTGTGAGTTCTAGTCCTGTTTTAGGCATGAAAATTGACTGGATGACTTTGGGCCAATCATTCTCTCTCAGTGTGACCCATTTCACAGGCTTGTTGTGGGGAATATAGGAGGAGGAAGAAGTATTGTGTGTGTTGCCTTGAGTTATTTATTAAAAAAATAATAAAGGTGAGATAAAAATAAATAAATAATTTACCTCTTTTCCAGGCTCCATTCTGTTTCATCTTCTTTTTCCCCCATGGCTGCTTTAAATTTATTCACTGGGGAGAATGCAATTAAAATATTCCAGTTATCTAAAATGGTCCTTGGTTAATACCATGGGCGTTCCAATTTTAAGTTGAAGATACTTCAAATTTCCCTTTTCCATTTTTTTTCCCATGGGCTAATTTAGAAGACCTTGTTATGAGCCCTGGAACCAGAATAAAGAGGTCTTCCACTTCCTGTTCCTATACCATTTCAGACAAATGGTTGTACAATCTCTTCTTACAAACTTCCACGGTTGGAGTACCCACAACTTCTGGAGACAAGTTGTTCCACCGATTAATAGTTTTAACTGTAAGGAAATTTCTTCTTGGTTCTAAGTTGCTTCTCTCCATGATTAGTCTCCATCCATTACTTATTGTCCTACCTTTGGAGAATAGATTGACTCCCTCTTCTTTGTGGCAGCCCCTTAAGTAGTGGAACACTGCTATCATGCCACTCATAGTCCTTCTTTTTTATTAAACTAGACACACCCAGTTCCTGGCAATCATTCTTAATATGTTTAGCCATGCATAATACTTCTTCCTTCTCCTATTTTCCCCAGAACAATAGTCCTGTGAGATGGGTTGCACTGAGAGAGAATGATTGTTCCAAAGTCACTCCGCCAGTTTTCATGCCTAAGACAGGACCAGAACTGACAAGAGAAGCAATGTGTCTTTCTTTCAAATAAATATTACTTGATTCAGCAGAAGATTGTCATTTGATCATTTGTCCGTTTTTTTTTTTTTTTTTTTTTTTGTTTTTGGATCTTTTCCTCCCCCCTCCCCAACCCTCCAGTATCGACTGTGCCGGAATCCTAAAACTGCGTAATTCAGACATCGAGCTGCGCAAAGGCGAGACGGATATTGGGCGCAAAAACACACGGGTACGGCTGGTATTTCGGGTTCATGTCCCACAAGGAAATGGCAAAGTGGTGTCCATCCAGATGGCTTCTGTGCCCATTGAATGTTGTGAGTATTGCTTGCTATCTCAGGGTAAAATTTGACTGCTGGGGTCTGTTCTCAAGATTGTCCCAAAGGTGAAGAAGCTTCTTGGATGAGAAACAAAACACCTTCAAAAAAAACCCCCAGAAAGTCCAGTTGTCTCTGGAAAAAAAGCTCCTTTGGGACAGCCATGACCTGGATGACTGAGAATCTCCATAGACATGTCCATGGGTAGGATTCAGCTGTTTTGGACTGGTTTGGGAGAACCGGTAGTTCTGGCAATCAGTTGGCTCTGCCCACTCACCCCTGCCCTAGTCTGTCCTATACTTGCATGCTTTGCAGCTCACCTGATTCACATGGCACAGCAGATTGCCACGTGAATCAGCTGTTTTACTCACTGGGGCTATGTTAGAAGGTAAGTTTTAGTGCTGAAAATGGGCAGTTTTTAAACGCTGCATGCTCACCAAAGTAGTTGTTACACCGGTTGAATCCTACCATTGGACATGTCCTCAAGTTTGTTCAAAGGAAAGTTGAGGCTGTTGACTACACATTGTGGGTGATCCTTTACCCAGTGCTGAGCTAAAACATCTAGGAAAACTCCAGAGTTGAGAATGTGAAGAAAAATGACCATCAATTTGAAGTATTTACTCCAAAATGTGTGCATGTGTTCACAGATAGTCTTCAATTTACAACCACAATTGAGCCCAACATGTTGCTATGCAAGACAGTTGTTAAGTGAGTCTTGCTTCATTTTATGCCTTTTCTTGCTGCAGTGGTTAAGTAAATCACTGCTATTATTAAGTTAGTAACACAGTTTTTAAGTGAATCTGGCTTCCCCATTGACTTTGCTCGTCAGAAAGTTGCAAAATTTGATCACATGACCCCAGGGCACTGCAACCATCATAAATATGAACCGGTTGTCAACCGTCCAAATTTTGATCATGTGACCCTGAGGATTTTGGAATGGTTGTGTGAAAAACGGTCATGTCACTTTTTCAGTGCTGTTTTAACTTTGAATGGTCACTAAACAAATAATTGTATGCCAAGGAACACTTGTATACAAACAGATACACCCATGCACACCCTCCAATACATATATCCCAAAATTGCATGAGGGATTCCAAAGGGAAATTGCTAATATATCACAAGTCTTAGGAAAGATCTGAGCAGTGTTTGTTACTTTAAAAAAAAATGCTTTGCACTCTCCAGTTTTATTACAGTGCATGACATCTGTTGCCTGAGAAGAGTGTTATATTTTGCTTAAAGGATCTTTGAACAACGATTGGTTTTTGAAAGCAGGGAAGAGAAAGTTGGTGTTTCAGGAAGTAATTCTTATTTACAGGGTGCAGTGGATAAATTGGCTTGTAATCACACTCCCCAATTCCGCTGTCAAAGAGCTAAGACTTTTAGCCACTGTTCCATTTGTCTCTTTGGTTCCTCTTTTGCAGCCCAGCGCTCAGCTCAAGAACTCCCACAAGTAGAGCATTACAGTCTTAGCGCCTGCTCAGTACATGGTGGTGAAGAGATGGTCATTAGTGGAGCCAATTTTCTGCCAGAATCAAAAGTTGTTTTCATTGAAAGAGGCCCTGGTAAGTGAGGTCTGGTTCCTTTCCTTTCTTTCCTTTCCTCCCCTTCCCCTTCTCCTTCCTTCCTTCTTTCCTTCTCCCCACTCCCTCCCTTTCTTTTCCATCCTTGCTTCCTTCTTTCCTTCCTCCCACTCCCTCCCTCTCTTTTCCTTCCTTCCTTCCTCCAACTTCCTCCTTCTTTTTTCCTTCCTTCCTTCCTTCCTTCCTTCCTTCCTTC